AAAAAAAAATGTATTTTCTTATTGTATAGTAGGTATAAGTATAATAAATGTACAATAAAGTAATATATAAGAATATCTATAATTGTATGTCATCATTAGCATTTATTTAATTAACAATTTATATTTTTTAGTCATTTCTAATTATAAATAAACTAAAATTAGAATAATTWAAAAAAAAACTATTTTTAATTCCATATATTTGATTTGAGTATTTTTTTTTCGTAATAGATAGACGTATTCTATATAACTTTAGTAAGAATTACCATTTTTTGTTTGTAAAAGCTTGAACTACAATAATCATTCGTTGTTTGACCTCATTAATTTGTATGCTTAAGAATTTATCAAKATCGATCGGTAATAGTCTGAAATTCTGAAACTTGCCGTCAGTAGTCCGTAAATTTTAAGTTTTCTGGGTGAGACCTAGGGTTTCTCGGTATTCGTAATTTTAACGTTACTATATATATATATATATATATATATATGAATATTAATGGTGTATAAATAGTGTAATACCAAAAGTACTCGATACAATCATAATATTTCCGATCATAATAATTCGTAATAACGATTCAGCTTTCTATAAAATAATATTTGATAAATAATATCGTATATAATATTATAGCGTTATCGAAAAGTAATAAAAAGTATTTAATCGCACCTAAACGGTGAACATGCAGTAATATTGTTTTGGCGTGTGAACCGCCCTCGGCCGAAACGTCTMGCACCGTATATCGTACCTGTACCTATACGTGTATTGATCACACAATATATCTTATATCCATATATATCGTAGCATGCCGTTATGAAATGACAGAGTATATAAAATAGTTTATCCAATAACCAAACGCATATAAAAAAATAATTTAATAATCACCTAGAACACGGCGATAACGATCTCGACCTGCAGCAGGAGCAGCAAGGGGTTGTGCGTATACATTGCGTTATGGCGATTGTCGACCGTCCTTTTCTTTTCACGTCTTTTCGAGAAAAAAAACTCGTATATATTATATATAATAATAATAACAACGTTTATTTATTATTATGTTGTGTCTTGTGTATAATGTATAGACGGAACGAAGTCGAAATTATTAGCCGGCTACAAATAATTATGGCACACACGATGGGGGTTTCCTTTTTCTTTCGAGTTACGCATTATATATGATGTTTACAATATACGGGGTGATTCATTTATCAAACAACACTCATTTTTTCAAAAAGTATTGACTTTTTTCAAAATTGTAGATTTACACTTTTCTTGAATTGTTTATTTTTTATATTTTTCACCCTTATATTTATTAGATAAACCACTATCRACTTTTGATTTTCAAATGGTAACCTATACTTAAAATTTCATAAATTAATAAAGCTATTTTTTTATTAATTATTACGTTAAAATTTCGAATTTAGCGCTAGTAGTTTATGAGTTATAGGTTTTTAAAGTTTAGATTGGCACAGTGGAGTGGTACGTGGTTACCCCTCAAAATGTTTGTCCACTACTCTGCTTGTCTAAACTTTAAATACTCATAACTCATAAACTACTCGTCCTAAATTCGATTTTTATGTATCAACATTTTTAGAAAAATATTCTGCTTTGGAATATGAAATTAAAAAACTATGTTGTCATTCAAAAAATTAAAAATCTTAAAAAATTATAAGGATAAAAAATATAATTTTTTAATAAAAGCGTTGGTTTTTTAACAACTTGAAACTATGTAAAAAAATATTTTGAAAACAGTCAATACTTTTTTAAATAATGAGTGCTGTTTGATAAAAGAATCACCTGTATACATTACAGTTTTACACACATAATTACAGCATAATGTATAAACCACGACGGGCCTGTTAAGTGCGTTTTGCCTGTCGAACGGTAAAGGAGTAAAATATAATATAAATTATAAAGTTATTTATGAATTCTTATAGAAAAATAGGTACTATAAAAATCTCGTAATATTCGCATTGACAACTAAAAGTTGTTTAAGTTTATTTTTGGTTTTTTTTTATTACATTGTTTTTACATAGTCTGAACATTGAAATAGCTGGTGTTCAATTAATAACTATACTAAATGTTTAAAAAGTTTTGTATAGTTATTATTGAAACATATATTTATAATTTTATTAGATGCGGAATAGGTACTTTTTTTTAAGTATTTAAATAGATTTAATCGTTTGAAATGTTGTAGTTTAGACGAACGGAATTAAGAATTAAACGAAAAATTCACAACCATTAAAAATTGTGATATGCTTCATACTTACTCCGTTTGACCAAAATTCAAAAATAAATCTTTGATTATAAAAATCGGTTGAAAATATAATTGTTTCGTAAAATGTCTCGACAGAATATATTTAAAACTCTTAACTTTTCGACTAAAGAGGACGCCGAACATATGTTTTTTTTTCATTTAATTATTTAAAACTAATGGTTAATGCTATATTATCAAAAAAATGAAGACAGGCGCAAATAATGTTTTTCCCTTTGAATTGTGGAATTTTGGCAATTCTACAAATAAATACAGAGAGAGTATAAAGTGTTGTCTAGCGCATAACGGTTTTTGCCATGTTGTACGTTTGTAAGACGGAGACGACATATCCTGATATACGTGAGTGTGGCGTCCTCTTAAAGTTTTGCTTACATTAAAGTTGAGTTCAAAACTACTATACTTACATCCAAGACACTTTTATTTTTATCTTACAATCATTAAAATCACTACTCAGAAAACTAGTTGAGCCACCTGTTGCAGTCAAATGAATCAGAATTGCGGTACAGTGACTAGTTTCACTCCGCTTTCGGGATTGCCTCCGCGACTGCGGCATTTTCCAGGCGTTGATGTGTCTGGATCGCAATTCGCTGTTCACAGCTGCTGCTGCAACGATGACAGCAGTCCGGTTTGTCCGCAAACTCGTCTTAAATAACATAATAGGTACCTTATTACAACGCAGTACGTTCTATTATTATTATCAATAATGCGTTCAACCGGTATATGTATAAATGCGCGTGACACACACATACATCGGTCTGCCGGCCTCACTTTTGATGGCTCCTAGTAGTCAATAATAATAATAATAATAATAATGATAATAAATAATAATAATATAATAACGTTCAATAATAATATCCTCCCGACGCGAGACGGCGGCGTACATAAAAATATATTTTCACCCCGGCTGACGAATGACGGTGAATAAATGTTCATTTCGGTATATAGTACTGCACACTCGTACGACACACGAGGGCAGCCGCCGCCGCCGCATTCCAGCGATAGACCCCCCCGGCCGCCGCGGGCGACGTCCTCCGGGTACTATAGGTCTATAGCAAACTGCATTCCAGTCCAGATCGGCGGGTCCCATTCAATTGTTTCTTGTATTTTTCTCCCTCTCATCCGATCGTTCTTTTAATTCCGTTTCATATAATCTGAATTTTTTTTTATTATTATCATTTCATTTCGTTTTCATGTTTTTCTCCATGCGTATCTATAAATACACGTATTACGTAATATTATACCACCTTATTAAACCCGTTGCGCGTTACCCGTAGCTCTATACCGTACTTAATAATATTATAACAGCCTACAACGAGTATAATAATAATATATAATATGTATATGTATATTATATACACGTATACTCTAAGTACACCTCATGTACATGATGCGTGCACAAACTATCCGATTCCAAAAATAAAAAATCTATAATATGCCGAGTAATCCAATCAACGTGAAACCTTCATTGTTTCAAAAACTATAAACGTTTTTGAAAATACCTTTTTTACACACTTAACTTGGTCATTTTTCTAAAAAATTATATTTTTACTAAATAGTTTTTTAATTTTTTTCCTTTCTAATGATACCCGTTAAAAAAACAAGCGCATTTTTTAATTTCTCATTTCTTGAGTACTTTGATAAACAAAAATCGAATAGGACGAGTGGCTTATCGCTTATGAGTATATCGAGTTTTGATGACCCGAGTGGAGTGGTACAGGGGCACCTTTAAAAATGTCAAAATGGTCCTACTATTCAGCTTGTCCAAACTTAAAACACTTATGAGATGTTATACAAATTAACCACTTTCCGAAATTTGATTTTTATAGATCAAAATACATCGAATAATATTATATACTACAAGATAGGAATTTTAAATTGTACTTTAACATTGTCATTAAAAGAAAAAAAGAAGAATTTTTCATCTAAAAATGTTATATTGTAATTTATAATGTAAAAGAAATAATGATTTCATTAAAAATTATTGTTTATGTTTAAAAACGTAGGTACATATTTTTTAAACATAATATGAGTGATGAGTGTATTAAAAAGTTAAATGTATCACCTCATATATCATACTACTATATAATGTACTTACAAACTACAGCGTATATATATATATATATATATATATATCCATCGTCAATTAGTCGGAAAATGTACATAATATATTATCTGAGTACCTACTGCAGATGTGCAATCGCTTCAGCTACTGCATGCCGCATCATGGTGCACAGTGCACGCGCCTGTGTAAGAGACGCGTGAATCCCGTGCTCGTCGAACGACAAGTGTCACAGTCCACAGAGACTTGACCTATATAATATATTTTATGAAAATATCATATGATATCAATCGTTTCGATTGTCGACGGATTCGTCAACTCTGCAGTGTCTTCATCGCGTACGAAACGATTAAACGATCCATTAAGTTCGAAGTATTTAATTTCTGCGTTATCGTATATAATATGTGATATACCTAATTAGTAATTATAGACACGAATTACTAGAGCACGACGTATGTAACGTGTGTGTGTGCTCGCGCACTATATAGTAATATTTTCGCTAATACATAATTGATGCATGAGATCGTTGCGATAATTCAATATCTGCAGTTTATAATGTAATACGTATATTATATATTAAGTGCACTGTCGACAGATATTATTATCATATCATATAAGTTATTCCACTTCTATATTTTATTATTATATTTACCAGGTACGTTGGTGATTAAAAATGTTGTACGTATACTTTGGAAAGCACTTAAGAAATAATAAGCTTAAACGAATACGAATTATTCAGCTAACGATCCTCTTATATATTATATATACGCGTACACATTCGTACTTATTATGATTTAAAATATAAGTACAATAATTGTATATTTCCCATAACACAAATCCACGTCGAGTTATTCGAAATCGAATCGCAGTACCTAATAAAAATATAAGAACGTAATTATTTCTATCTTCTTTTATGTTCGTTTTAAATTCTACCCATCGTCAGTGCAAACTGCTGCAAATAATGCAAATGTAATATGTAAATTATATTTTTATTGTATCTTCGTGTATTATGGTGGAGGCTAGTGATGTTAAGTAGTTGAGTACTGTTATGAGTACTGCAGTTTGCTATCGTACAAGTCACACTCAAAGCCTTAAATACATATCATATAGGTCATAGGTGTAGGTACCTTTTTCATTTTTCATTTTTTAAATTTGTTTTTTTTCTTGTGTTATTTTAAATGTATAACTTACGCGCACCCATAACGATGTACGATTAATTTTTTTGACATGATCGACTTAAACCGATTTCTTTTTTTGCTTCGATATCGATTAGGTATAATGCTATTCATGGACCTTTAAGCAAGAAACCCAAAACGGAAAATTAATAGAGATTCGAATGCGTTTTCGCAATTCTAAATGTCATCGTGCTGATATTAATATAGGTGCAACGGAAATAATGAATACAACTAAATCAAAGTAGCAACATAATATCGTATTTTATTAATATGAATGTCGCGTCCATGCGTGCGGATAATATACAGACCGCAAAAACGCATCAAATCGCAGTTCTATTCCCCCGTAATAGTAATAATAATAATAATAATTAGAGAAGGTATCACTTTACCGCCGCGACATCATCTCATTATAATACATTGTATAGGGTTGTTTGAATTTCAAAACGAGTAATCAACCCACCTCGACGTTTCGGACTCGTCTATATGCAAATAATAATATTGTGTATTAGACCAATTTTGGATAGTTAATACAAGTGAATAATATTATAGAAATTACCATTTGAAATTCAGAAAAAACAACACGGTGTCCAAAATAAAACTTACCAATTCTTAAAACCAAAATAAAATATGCGAAGCTTGCGAAATATTACATTTCTAAACTAACTATTATAGCAATCATTTTAAAAACGATGGTCGTTGATAAATCGGTACCTATACTAGTAACAGTAGTAACAAAGTGAGATGATTTAAGCAAAAAAGAAATATAGAACACATCAACAAATTTGAAATATTTGAAATTTCTAATTTAAAATATAAAGTTTAAATTTCAATAAAATAAAATATTTTTAACTCATTATCTACTGTATAATACCATAATATGAGAATGTTGATTTTAATTATGGTAATATGTATTAAAGCTATTATTTTTGATTTATAAGAAAATGTGTTCTTCTCAAAATGTATATAGTAATTATAAGAATAAATGGCACGTCAAAATATCAACGACCTGATGACCTATAACCCTTTAAGTAACTCTATAGAGTTTTATAATGTTTCTTCAAGTGATTGTAAACAAATTTGTACATAACGTCTTTTACTTTATTGTTTCATAATAAAGAGACATGTGAATATTCAACTTTTTTTTTATCAGAAATATTAAGTTGTTTGTATTTTCCAACAATTTTAATTTCTAGACACGTCATGTGTATGCTCTGTCTTACGTAGTGTATAACAGATATTTACCGCAGCACGTGCGTGACACTATAATATCTATTATGTACCCATTACGCTTACACCCTTATATTATATATTATGAAGTATATCTCGAAAACTATCGTTTCAGATCACATGACGCACATGATCCGGAAGTCCAAGAGCAAAACGGTTCGAGTACTGGCGGACGTGTACTCGAGCATCGAAGGACCGGCCGCCGGTCCGTTGGACGCGTTCTACGGGCGGCTGTCGCGGTACGTGCACGAAGACCCGGAAACGACTCCGGCGACGAGCCTGGAAGACGCTGCATCCCGGCTGTTCGCCGACCTGTTTCCGGTCGTCTACCGAACGGTGGCTGCGGCGGCCGACAGACCGGATGGCGGCGAGACCGAGTTCGACGAGGATTACGTCCAGTGTCTAACCGKTAAAGCCTTCGATGTTAAACCGTTCGGCGACGTGCCGTACACGCTGGCCAAGGACATTTCCAGGACATTCTCCGCCACCAATGTACTCGTACACGCGCTCAGGTATGATAAACGTATATGGATAGACTTTAACGATAGTTTTATGTCTTTGATTTTTTGGGAAACCCGATTTCTCAAGTATTTCCGTTTTTATTCTGATGGCAAACGGAATATCCATAATATTACTAAGTGTGTCTTGTACCAAGTGGAACTATTAAGTATAATATTATATATATCTATTGTCCCAAAATAATGCTCAATTCTCGCGCCTACCCTATTACTTAGCTAGTCAGCTCGATAGATGAGTTATAGTTATATGACTAGTTGTAACTGGTTATACAAGTTACTGTTACATTGAAAGTCACTTTAGTTCATTTCTTTGAGAAAATAATAATGTCACTGCTAAATATTTGTTTGTATGAGGGGTTCCTGAAAAAAAGATGTTTAATGTAAAARTATTAACAATGAAATTTATTAAAACGGCTGTTGAAATAAAAATTCATTATTACACAATATACTAAAACGATAGGAACCTAATAATAATTACTAATATTCATGGTTAGAGCATAATAATATTTTATAGATATCTATATATATTATATATAAATATATTGTTAGTAGTCAGTGCAAATTAAATAACACGTTAGATCTTTTAGTAGTTCTATTCAAAATTAAGAATAGTTAAAAAAAAAAAATACCAAATTTCATATCGTGGTTTTCATTATATATAAAATATAAAAATAATTTTGATATCGTCTAATAATTACTTACTTAAATATAACAATAAATGTAACCTATTACACGTATCTTTTAATTAAAACTACAAATCACGCAATTCATTACAAGCTACTATATAGTTAAGAATTGTAATATATGTGTTGGCTGCGTTACTTTGCAACGTGTAACTGATTACTGCCAAACTCATCTGTGCGTACGTTTGGCTCGGTCCCCGCCGATGACACCGACTGATGATGATTCGTTCAGCAAACAGTTCGTAAGATATCGACATCGCGTAGTGAATGTCCAATCAAATCTCAAATCTCACACTTGTTTTACTCGACGACGTTGTAATAACAATAATAATATTATGATGTAGATACGGTGGCCAATTAGTGGACGAAGAACACTCCCGGTCGTGGCTGGGCTACGGAAATACGGAACAGTGTTCGGCGGCGCTGACTCGGATGAGACAGTGCTCGTGGTGCGACGGCAAGGACGCGAAACCGTGTCACGGGCTGTGCGTGAACGTTATCCGCGGCTGTCTGGCCAGGGAGACGGCGCACCTGGACGCGCCGTGGACCGGATACTACGAGGCCGTGGACCGTCTGGTGTCGGCCATCAACAACGGCCAGTCGTCGGTGTGTCTGGAGGACCTGCTCAGATCCCTGCACTCGAGGATATCCGAAGCCATCATGTACGCGATGAACCACGCTTCAGACATACAAAACAACGTGAGTAGGATTTTACATTTACATTATATAGATTTATTGACACGAGTGTCGAACACCGCTCTAGGTAATTTTAAAAGTATTGTATACTTATTTTTAATTTATTATATATATATATACCCTTAAATCTGTAAAACAGGACCCTAATAATCATTTTAATTCTCTCTCGGACCTGTTGTTTCAAGTTTCAATTAATTCGTTGAAATATCAATATGATTACAATGTCAACTTTTTTTCCTTAAATTTGTCGCTATCTACGTTTCCTTTTTTTAGTTTTTATTTTAAATCTTCCTTCATCTTTGATATCATGCATAATATGACCATTGCGATGACACCTATACACGATACACACCAAGATAGAATCGACATTATATAATTTTGAATATTATATCATTACCAGTAGTCTCTCATTTGGAACTCGTAAGGTATACACTGTAAATGTGAGTACTAATTTTAAGAGTTAAAATACAATATTATGGTACTTTTCGACTTGGCTGGTCTGAAAATAGATAAATTCTAGGCAGAGTATTGGTACAATTTACATAAAAATATGCATACCTATTTAAAAAGAAAATTTAATTCTAATATCACTCGTTATAGATTTATCTAAAAATCGTTTATAATACCTATGTAAATTTATTCGTAGCAGTACCTATACTAGGCGCCTACACGTATTTTCTATTCGCCGAAAAAAAATTAAATTTCTTTATTTTATTAGTTTCCTAGTTGTACTTGTATATTTAATAATTATGTTTGTCTATTTAATTTATAGTAATGATAATCGTCGTAAGACTGTAGGAACAATCGTAACTCGTTGGTTTGATTATGTTTAGTTTATCATATACCTATATAACCTATTAATAGTGTTTTCATAATATTTAATACCTACCACATTATAATATGTAATAACATATTACACGAATGCATTAAATAATATATATACTTCCTCGCGATTCGAGTGTTTTATATGTTAAATCGAGGTCACGCGCTATCATATTTATACAGTTTTTTACTGCAGCGATAACGAAATCAGCGGACGCTTAAAATATTATTATACCTGTACCTTTGTACGGTGTGCATAGTGCATTTGTTGGATGCATATTTTCGTGCAGTACCTACCTAATGAGTAAAATTATGTGGTCGGAATATTTTTAGGTATACCTACCTACCTCTTGCACGTCCGCGGTACGCCGAAACCGAACGTTGTTCTCCGTCTCCCACCCCCTCTCTCTCTGGAGAGATGAAACGAAAGACCAGGTGGTCCGAACTCGTGGAATTCAAATGATATGGCGATTTCCCCGCAGATATCAATGACTCTGGGCGATCGGATATCTCCGACACGGTTTTACTGAATGGTTCGGGCGGTATAATAACAATATAATATAATGCGTACCTATTATGATAATATATAACTATACATAACGCGTATACGCGCGGCGGGACCCGAAATACCGACCAGACGGATCGGTGCGCCTAGTAGCGCCACCTGAGATCACGAGACGACGAGGACGTGCACATCGTCGTCGGGGCGAGGACCGGTGCAACGCGTATGACTCATCTCAATGAAATGCTGGACTTCCATTGGTCCGGCGAGAGGAATTCCGATCTGCCGGCACCTTTCACGCACACACACGCAAACGCACGTGTATTCTTTATGTATTTTATGTGTTTGTATATATATATATAATATGCATACAGACGTAGGCGTGTACACAAACGCACAACCCTTCCGATACTAAACTCGATTTACCATATTTGGACCGGTTCCAACTCGCACACACACGCACACACACACACACACTCGCGCTGCACCTCCTGACAATCCGCAGCATTTTCCTATATATTATATATCTACATTAAATATTATATATTTACAAGCAGAACTCTATACTATGCATACCTATATAATACCTGTATATATTATATTATGTGCACAACAATGTGTAAGCACATGATGCGTGAACAATAAGACGAATTCGGTCGATTTGTATAGCGCTAACGAGGTGCCGCCGGTGCAGTGTTGCAGTGCACGAAAAACGCGCAGGACGTTCGATTGCGGTACACTTACACCCCCCCCCCTCTACCGAGCCCACGACGGGGTTGGAAATCCTTTGACTGCGTTTCGTTTAAAATCCCGCATTAGGCACGGCACCAAAAAGCACTGGACAATATAGTTGATTATGTTGGATGATTTTTTTTTTTTTTTGACGTAGTTTTTTCGGGATTCGTTTTGCGATATCGGTTAGGTTATTATATTAAATAATAATTTTCGAGTGTTTTTTGGTGCGACGTTTACGAAATAAATCGATTATTGCGTCTGGGAACCGTTTTAAAGAATTAACCGTTTCTATACTTACACGTAGGTAACGTCGTAACGGAACGATAAATCATCATCCAAATGTTATCTTCGTTCTGACGGCGCAACCATACGTATCGAAAAGAAAAAAATCAAAATGGAATTCTCAAAAATCGTTAACAATACATGCTACCATCATATAAAGCAAGAGTGAAAAGAAAAGTGACGGAATTATCATAATATTCATTATCATCGAATGGCATACTTATACATTTTTCTCATCAAAGCTTTGTTTCATCGAAACTAGGTCAAATTAGTGAAAATTAGGTTTTTTCTATTTTTATAATTCAGTATAGGTATATACTCTTTGCATACCTGTATAATATAATATAGGTATATGCGACGTACCACGTACGTATATAGATTGTAGATACCCAAATCTTCATAAGAACACTTAGCGGTGCGTGTGGAACGGAACTATGAAAAGGGAAAATGTTACGAATTTTATATTGAAGGAGCGAATATAATAAGTGTAATAGCTAATAACGAAAGTAATTTTTCTAATACTATATACAGAGAACACAATATTTTGAAAGTAAAATTAGGCTAATTTAAATTTATACACGAAAAGAAAATTGATGAAAAAAAAAGTGAAACGAAAATGTTTATTACTGTAATTTATTTTGTACGAAGAAAATAGTTTGTACACTATTGCAGAAATCTTGAACTTTTTTATAATCGAAGATAGCGAGCCCACAAGATTCGTATATTTATTTAGAGAACACAGGGTGCGGTTGATTCAAATAAATTACCAATGCATCGTTATGAATAATTTATTAGAGTGCTGCAGTCGTCTTGGGCGCGTTACACATTTAAACGTCGCGCCGTTTTTACAAAATGTATAATTAGAAGTGTCGTTACAAATACAAACGTATTTAAGTACGTATAATTATTATTAATAATCTGCGATTAGCTTTACATAATATATACATATGGCCAAATAAAGCACATATACGAGGCGGCGCGATGGAATGGACGGTCCGTCTGCGGTATGGAAATCACTCTGTATATTTTAAGACGGGAATGGTTAATATACCGAGTTAAGGCCAACGATTTATATGTGTGACAAGATTATATGCATGGCGACGACGTCGGCGGACGGTGCATTTTTAGCGTGTACCTCGGAATGGAATGTCGCCGTGCAGTTGGTTTATTTTTACCGGGCGTAAAAAAAAAGATAAAAACTCACACACACATACACACGCACACACACACACAAGGGGAGAGTGAAATAGAATGAAGGAGTGACTGGAGGTGATTTGAGAGGGAGGGGTGAGAGAGAGAGAAGCCGGTGTGTATCATTGGCAACAGGAAATTTCTTATTAGAACCCAAGTGAAGAACGGGTGTCTGGCTCCCCAATAAATCTGTCGAGAGTAAAAATTCCAACGATCGTGCCAAAAATAAGACTATTTCGTACTAGATTTGTCCCCCGAGTATTATAGAAACCCTTTAAAAGGTTCAACAGGATGGAGCCCGCGTTTAATATATCTTTTTTTTTCATTTACAAAATGCTTTTAAATTTAATAAATCCGTGATGCAATAATATAAGTTTTAAACTCAAAACTTTAACACCGACTGTCCGGTATTAAATACATTGACATTTTGTTGACTGTTCGAAGTTGTCAAACTAATGTAATTACAAATTGTATGCTACCTTTATGGTATTCACAGTTTAATTGTTTTCATGTTTGTTGAATTACCGACAGATTGGTCGTTGAATAACAGCATTAAAATGTTTTGATGTATATTACCATAAAAACTTGGAATGTATCACATAATTGTGTTAATCAGCAGAAAAGTTATTTTGTACGTTTTATCAAACAAAGTGACGTAATTAATAATAGTAATAATATGATATGCTTATTTTGGATAACACATAAATTCTTATGTCTCCGGGGAAAAACATCGATAGTTAAAATATTAAAGGTGTTAATAAGTAATAACTAATAATAACTTTATGGCGAATTATAATTTCGATTTATAAATACGCGTCTAGTTTGTATGGAATAAATTGCATTCACGTAAGTGTAGGTACATAATTTCTGAATCCCCTAGAGCGATGTTTTTTTTTTCATAAGTTATACAAGAATAGGTAAATCATACATGTTTAAGATAATAATAATAAAAAATTATGCAGATCGCATCGCGATATAAAATGGTCAAGGGCTCGACCTTTTAGAGTATAATATATTTTAAATTTAAGTTATTGATACGTAGGTATATAATATATATATATATATATATATATGCCAAGACGAGATAAATAAAAATCTAGTTTGTTAGGTAGCGTTGTTATTAAAGCTTAACCATAAATTAAAATCCATTAAATTAAAAAATAATTATGCACGTTACATTATACAATATAATATTATATAACATTCAACACGGTACCGGAACTCAAGTGTTAGGTATCGATATTTTTTTTTCAATTACATTTTTGTATCGTAAAACATTGATTTCGTATTAAAAAAAAAAAAATACCGTGATGGTCAAGTCGGTTTTTCGCGCAAAAACAATAATAGTAATAATACAATATATTATCATTCATAATAATATATGGCTGCCGAATCGATGTATTTATTATATTATATGGTTTCGAYACGCCAGATGAAGTTCAGTATCTCGTGATTAATCACGAAAAGTAAA